TCCTTCAATAATTTGTCTGGATCATTGCCTTTTAATGCCAGTACATTGAGATGTGATAGTCTTCATGGTAATCCATTTCTCCAGTCTTGTCATATCTATGCTCTCTCTGTTCCATCCTCTGATTTGCTGGGGAGCAGCCGGAGTTCGCAACCATTTACCAACTCACCAACAGGAAACTCTTCAGATGACAGCAGCAGTGGTGGCTTTAGTTCTGTTGAAATTGCTGCAATTGCTTCAGCTGCAGCCATCGTTTCAGTCATTCTAGCTCTAATTGTTCTCTATATTTATGCAAGAAAGTGCATACCTAGGCCCCCCATTGGAGCTTCTGGAAGAAAGGAAGTGACTGTTTTTGTGGATATTGGTGTTCCGCTAACCTATGAGAGTGTTGTCCTAGCCACAGGGGGTTTCAATGCTAGCAACTGCATTGGCAGTGGAGGATTTGGGGCTACATATAAGGCTGAGATTTCACCAGGCATTCTGGTTGCTATAAAGAGGCTTGCAGTAGGGAGGTTTCAAGGTGTTCAACAGTTTCATGCAGAAATCAAGACCCTTGGGAGATGGCGGCACCCTAATCTTGTGACCCTAATAGGATACCATGTTAGCGACTCTGAGATGTTTCTTATATATAATTATTTTCCAGGAGGTAATTTAGAGAGATTTATACAGGAAAGATCAAAAAGGTCTGTGGATTGGAGGATGCTTCACAAGATTGCTTTAAACATTGCATGTGCACTTGTTCATCTGCATGATCAGTGCATGCCCCGCATCCTTCATCGAGATGTTAAACCTAGCAACATACTGTTGGACGATGAATGTAATGCTTATCTCTCTGACTTTGGATTGGCGAGGCTTCTAGGAAATTCTGAAACCCATGCGACCACTGGTGTCAAGGGAACATTTGGTTATGTTGCTCCGGAGTATGCAATGACTTGTCGAGTGTCTGATAAAGCAGATGTATATAGCTACGGTGTGGTGCTGTTGGAATTAATTTCAGACAAAAAAGCATTGGATCCTTCCTTCTCTCCATATGGTGATGGCTTCAATATTGTTACCTGGGCATGCATGCTGCTGCAAAAAGGCCGTGCTCACGAATTTTTCACTGAGGGACTGTGGGATGTGGCTCCGCATGATGATTTGGTAGGGATTTTGCACCTAGGTGTCAAGTGTACTGTTGAATCACTTTCTATTAGGCCCACAATGAAGCAAGTTGTTAAGAAGCTAAGGGAAATCCAACCTCCACATTATGGGCATGGTTAACATATACACGCTTAAGAGAGGTATGGTTCTTCAATGTTTATCAATTCTATTATTCATCAAGCTAGGATATGAAAAGTAGCAACTGTCTGTGCAGCATAAACTTTGATTTTTCAGTTGCCCATGTTTACCCATTCAGCAGTTTGTTGTTGAGTTTGCTATTACTGTAAATATCCAAGTGCTGAATAGAGGGTTGATCAAATTTGCATAACTTCATCTTTTGAAACTTATAAATACTCAGAAATTGTGCACTTTTAGTTCTCGAAGGTGAATCATTGTTGTATCTCTTCCTCAAGTTGTACAGGTAACAAATGCAGGTGTTGTTGGACTCTGTCAATAATGGAGAAAGCAAAATTTCAAAATACTTTGGCTAGTAAACTAGATGATTGCAACCGCACACGAATTTCTATAAAATCTGAGTGACTTATATGTTTTATGCTGAACCTTTTATTGGCCAGATTTCAAAGATGAAACTGACCTAGATATTTTCATTAGCTAAATTATATGTGCATCTGAGAAGTGTTTGAGATTCATCGTATTGAGCAAACATACTCGCTATCTAAGAAAACTAATGTGCAGAAATAGTTATGTCTTGATGCAGTTTGATTCAGGTGATTTTTAGTTTCACGTACTCCTTTATGATGACTTTTATCTCATTGCAGCTTCTGCTCCAAGAACAAGTTCTGCATGATATGGGAGGTAATACTTCACATTTTGTTGGGTATTTTTATTAAATATTTTTTATTTATTGTTGCTGAAAAATCATAACAGAGATTTCTAAATTTGACAACAGGTGATATATCACATACTTTTACGTCGTCTAACCGTTGAAGTAACTGAGCTATTCTAAGGTTGCAATGTCATGGAGTTTCAACTGAGTTTTCTTGAGTGTAATATCACTGGTATGGCATTTGATGGAGAGTTCTTTTGCCATATGATCAATCATTAAGGTATGTTTTTATTTTCCTAGTCATGTTATCTGATGCTGAAATCTGCTTTTTGGCATATTAAATGTTTTTTTAATTATTTCTTCTCCAGACTTCTAAGAAATATAATCAATTTTTAAGTTGTCTGAAGTTCTTAAGAATAAAAAAATTGTTACAGAAACCTTTCTGCTGGCATCATGACTTCATAAAATCACTGTTAGATGGGTTTGCTTAAAGGATTACCATTCCACATGTACAAATATTGGCATACTTATGCTATTAGGACTTGAGGTATCACATATAAGTCTCTTGATTAAAAAAATAGCATATACTTTACAACTATTGTATGTGAAACTAGTTATCTAGCCTGCAGGCCCTTGTCCCTTTCTCCTCTCCTATTTCTTTCTTATTTCTTCGGCCTTCTTAAATTCTTTTTTTATAATTCTTTGTTGTAGGTAACAAATATTTCTTTTTTGTTGTGGAAATTTGTCTCAGCAGATTACTGACTTTTATTAGTCCTAATCGGTTTAGTTTTGATTGATTATGGCCCCAATCTGATACATACTTCTGGATAACAAAGATTTCATTGTAATGGACCTATTGGAAACTGTCGGATGAATAGGGTTGATTAGCAGTAGTCAGCTGGTGCTTATCATTCGCTTCGATGCACCGGAGATCATCAACTTCATCAAAGGAATTAACCAGCCACCATGGCACATCAGTCTATAATCAAGGACATTTTGAGGGCTGCTCATGATTTTTGCTATGTGAAATTGTCATATTAGGAGAAATGTGACTGTGGCAGCACAAAATCTTGCCCTTTTTTTGGTAGAATCCAAGAGCTGACTATCTCCTGGGGCTCTGACTTCAATCCCAGGTTGTATACGGACACTGGTCCGGCTTTAGTGATCTAATGAAGTAATTCTCTTTTCAGAAAAAAAGGCAATAGTCAGCTGGTAAGGGTAACTACCCATACCAACTGTTGTGATATTCTAATGTCAATAATTATTAATCTGTAACAAAGATTTCTGCTAGTTTCCCATTATTTTTATGGTGCTATTGTTGTGACCCAAGGAACCTTCTGATCTATTGACTTATGAAGAAAAGACAGCCACAAATGCACTCCATATATTAGAAAAGCTTCCTATCTCTTTTACATACAAATGTCATTTGTTGAATTGGTCGATGATCCTGTCAACCATGAATTAACTAGAGTTAATGATTAAACAGATAAGCCAAGTCTTGATTTATCCCTCTGGCCTGGTTGGTGAGAGACTTGGGTTTGTTAGAGGATCTTTTGGGTTTCTCATCCACGGTCATTCAAATTATATATAAATGGGAAGACAACGGTAGGGGTAAAGGTACAAATAAAGAGCAGATGTTGCGGTGAGTGAATGCTAAAATCCAAAAAGGAGACTACAAGGGGCTTGCGGGTTATATATATTTTTTATTTACTGATCTCACATGATGCTAGCAAAAATGATGCATCTTTTGGAACCATTTTGAATTGATGCTTAATCTGAATTACTGAGTATGATTTCTGAAGACCTCATTGTTCTTACTGCAGGCAACAAGAGAGAAATTACTCGAAGGGACAGCTGCAGGCCTTACATAAATCTATCAGCTTATGCCTTGCAGGGCAAATATCCTGATAACAGGTTATGGTTCTCCTGTTACGAGCAAGTTTTACTTGCTCGATACGAATGAGGAACTTCTGCAGGGCTATATAAGTAAAGATGCTTTTCAAAGGTTAGTCAAGGCCAGGAGGACACAAACCCACTCATCTCGGTCCATGATCGTGACAGTAAGCTTTAGTTTGCCGATAAAAAGTCATGACATATTACAATATTCTGGAATTCTTGTGCAAATGATTGTATAGCCTGTTGAACTCATCATCATGTTTGACACAATAGAATAATTGGGTTGGTCTTGCCGCCACAGCTGTTGTTGATGGAACATGGCCTCACCGAAGACCAACGGGTTCTTCATGTAAAGGCTATTGTTTCAAGGACGTGAGTCAATTTTTTCTTCATTTTCCAACAATTATAATCTGACACGAATATTGACCTGATCATATATATATATATATATATATATATATATATATATATATATATATATATATATATATATATATATATATATATATATATATGATGATGATGATGATGAGTTATAGTGGGTTCACTCACTGCTATTATGGGAAGCTGATACCTATGAGTTGTGTTATTGCTAGGTCGCATCGTCAGGATTCCACCACTGAGGAGTGCTGGAAGGTATGATCTGAAGACTGTTTCCATCATAATATTTATTGGCTTCTGCTTTTACGTGAGATATATTTAGATGAACCTACGCAGTGTTTGGATTCTTTTATGGTGTTGGTTTACTGACGCTGCACATATCAGTATGTTCACTGCCCTATCAAACTGAATTAGAACCGACAACGCACAAAGCCATCAATTCCATATTAATTTGCAGGGATTATGTTGAAATGGAGCTCATGATGGCAATTCTTTTTTGTTTCTTATTCTTTGAATTCTTAACTTATCTTAACATTTGGTTCAAATGTTCACAAGCCTCTCCTTGTATATATTATATATATGGATAGGTCTTGAACATTAGGCATAAAGTTGGTGCCAAATTATGATGTCAAAACATCATATGGCGACTGTCATTGCACAATGCTCCTGCAGATGCAGAACCCTTAAGGAAACAGATCTACTTAGGTTTTGCTTGGATTTGGTGCTTAGGGGACATCAGTGTAGCAGTCTCTACCGAGATGTTGTAAGAAAAAAGCAACAACAACAACAACGGAGTTACTTGGTGGCTTGAAATCTTAACTTACACCTTGGTAAGAGAGAAGAAGCTCACAAATGAGAGCAGTTCAATTGATAACAAAAGGGAGAAGGAAGATAAAAGATCTGCTCGCTCACCATGGCCATGGAAGACGAGAAGGGTCTTAAAAGACCAACCCATTACAGGAATGCCGAGGGGAAGGGGTTGACCACAATGTGTCTGAGTGGGTGCGCCACATCTCCACCTCCGGCGTGCTTGACGAACTCAGCAGGGGTGAAGAATCTGCCATGGCACACGCACACGATCCTTACATCCTCCCCTTTCCTGTACTTGTAGAGGAACCCTTCGATCCTTGTTCCATTTGGTCCATCTCCCGTAGCAGAGACGCATGGCATCATGTCCCTCTCTACCTCTTTCGTGTCTCCCATCACCCTTCCAGCATTCATCGCAGTAGCATTGACTGCTTTCGTGGGTTTGCTTTCCTCTATGCCTGCATTAGAAATCACACACTGTTACTGCACTAGAAATAGAAAACCAACCCACACCATGTTCTCCTTGCTAAACATGCAAGAAGCCGAAACCATTGTACCTTGCTTTGCCCCGCAGTTGAACTCGGAGACGCCGGAGCAGCCGCTCCCCTGAGATCCGATGGATGCTTGCGTTTCCGGCCTGAAGCACTTGGAACCGTCGACCATTCCAGCTCTGGGCTTCGTCGCCAATGCCGGCGGAACGACGCCATTCGCCGCCGCAGATGGCCTCGGCCCGTCCTCCATCTCCTCGTCCAAAATATCACCTTTCCTGTCTCTCTTCTCCGACCTCGTCCTCTTCTGGCTCTGCAGCTCCTTTCGCTTCCTCTTCCTCTGCTCCTCGGCATCCGCAGGCACCGCCGCCGCCGCCTCAGCCTCAGGGAGGGCCTTCCGGAGAGGGAACACGGAGGCCGTGCACCTATCGTTGGGCTCGTTCCCGGAGCAACCGCCCAACGAGAGGCCGAGGCTGTGCTCCACCTCGGAGGGCTCTCCCCTCTTGGCCTCCGTCAGCTCCTCTCCGCCACCACTCCCGAAACGCCTCAGGAAATCCCTCGGGCAGCACTGTACCGGAGACGAGACCTCCTCCTCCTCCTCCATGGAGAACCAACAAGGAACACCAGCGTATTCCTTTATGACGCCGGATCTCAACAAGGTTTCGGATCAAAGTTCAAATTTTGCCACAAAAACACTCGGGAAATCCACCGAAGAAGCCATGATAACGCCTCATGACAATTCCTCGGACATCGTTGTGCCCCAGCCAAAACCTCTTCATCGATCGAAAGAAACGGACACGACGAAAGACCCAACTTTTACCCCAAAATCGCGCGTATTCTCACCTATTTCGGATCAAAGATCAGGTTTTGCCCAAGAAAACATGCGAAATCTATCGGTCAGACCACGAAATAGCCCTCTGAGAGGATCTTCCTGTGATCAGACATCGGTGTTTCATCGATCATGGAGAAATAGAAGAGAGACCGTCGCTTGATCAACTCCCGTAGAAATGAAGACGACGACGAGAGAGAGATTGAGAGAGAAGGGGGGGTACGGTGGAGGGTGTTTCAAAGTGTCTTGGATCGTGTGGGCTCCCGAGAGTGCCCTGCCCGGAGCCTGCGACATCCGCCACGCGTCGACGTTGGATGGTTCGCGGCGACAAGACGATAGGCGCGCCCGCGACGACAGGGTAGCCCTACCATGCTCACCGTGCCCCCACCGACACGCGTCCGCTCTTCTCCCCGCTGAGCAGCTGGTCGACACCATTGCGCACGTGTCGAGCATTTCGTGCGGCTGGTACCTCGATCCTCGTGGGCCCCTATTTAACTCCTATCTTTTTTCTCTCTTTTTCTTTCCGCGGCTCACGATGCACCCTCTCGCTACCAGCCTCGTGACTTGACGAAGAGTGGTGGGACCCACGCATGGCTAGACTGTGTGCCTGAAGTTATAGTGTATCGATGCACGACACGTAGCCGTTGCGTAGATCTGGAGCGTAACACTTAGGGTCATTCTCAGAACATAGCGACGTGTTGGGAAAAGCGAGGGACAGGGACGAGGCGACGACGACATGTCGTGGTGGGCTGTCAGGGTTCTTCAGGAGATCTAGCCGGAGACGTCAGCGACGTGACGACCACAAGAGCGAATCCTGAGGACACGCGTCGACCTGGAGCGCGGTGTGATGTGAACGGACCTGGCGGGAATCCGGCACAGATTGACATGTAGCTGCTTTCAGATCTTCAGTTTGATACGGCAGGACGGACGCGTGGACAGAAAGTGCTACTTCTCTTACCGACGGTCGGCAACGGCGAGATCCATAGCTGATCGATGGGTCCCGTGCCGCTTCTCCATTCACCACAAGGGTAAGAGACATAGGTTCCGATCGTGGCACGTTGAGAAATTAAAAACCTTCGTGGGTGTATCTCATTCGTTTGCAACGATGTATCAATACATAATGGTTTAACTCATCATAACTCTTATCTTGAACCCTTTAACGATTACGATGATGAATATAGAGTAACTTTCAATCTTTTTTTATTCTTAATATCATTTAATGATTATATGTTGGATAACGATTAGCTAAAAGTGTATTCACTATCATTTATCTCCTCATCCCGTGAAGATGTACTTTGGGGCTTTTGCGAGAAGAATTTGAAATGTGACGTCTTGTTCATTCAACACGTCAAGCTTATACATCTTCAATCTATTGTCAATTGAGTGACACATCTAGTTCATCTAACACGAGTTCATCCGATACATTTATCCGAGGTTGCCTTTCCCTAGCATTGTTGGTGGTGATCCATTAACGACCTACCTCTCGTATCATTGAAGGACGCACATTGGTCAGATGAGGTCAGGTTTTCCCGACCTTATCGTCTCTTCTCGACCTCCATGCCTTGGTGAATGTAGAGATCGAGCTTCTTAACCTTCATGCCTTAGAAGAAGATAGGGGTTAGGTTTCCCAACCTTTCTCACCTTAAGTGGAGGTGAGGGTCAAGCTTCCCAACCTCCAAGCCTCGGGCGAACGTAGGGATGAAGCTTCTTGAGCTCTCCGTCTCTAGCAAAGGAGGGGTTTAAACTTTCCGACCTTTATGCCTCGGGTGAAGGCGAGGATCAAGCTTCTATAGTTACCCACCTCGGGTGGAGGCGAGGGTCGGACTTCCTGACCTCCATGCCTTGGGAGAAGGCATGGGTTGGACTTTTTGATCTCCAAACCTTTAGAGAAGGTGGGGGATGGGCTTCCCAACCTTTATACCTTGAATAAGGCAAGGGTCGAGCTTCTCAACCTCCATGCATCGAGTAGAGGTGGAGGTCGGGTTTTCTCAACTCATGTGCCTCAAGCATATTTTATTTTGTCTCCTACCATGATAGGTTTCTTCTGATGTAGGTCGATTTTTTTGGACTCATACGCCTCGAGGACATTTTGATTTGTACCTCCCGCCATGGCAGGTTTTTTCTAATAGCATATCGGCTCTATAATACCTCGATCTTCTATTATCCTATTCTTTCGCCTTTACAGGTTGGGATGTCTTTCCTTTCTCGCACCATCTCTTTACAATATCATGGCCGTCGAATAATTAAGGAGGTTGACTCTCTATCCTTGGACAACCCAAGGGTGGAGGAAGTCTCAACCTCCCCCTCATTAGGGGTGTTAGTTCTCATGAACCCAAAGATTCTTCAAGACTCAAGAGTGTATAAAAAGCACATATGATAAAGACTCAATATTATACAACTCCTAAATCACTTGCAGACCAAGTGCTCTATCCCAATCGAGTTGATCTACAAGTCCCTCGATTGGTCACCATCAATTATACCCATATTCAAGTCCTTTTGTTTGTCTTCTAACACTCTAAAGGTGGGACATCGTTTTTCCCTCCACCTAGCGATAGTGTCTTACTTCAAATGGTAGAGAATATTGCCCTCACAGATGACACCTAGCTCGTGGTGCTACTTAGTTAATAGTATTCATCGGGGAATACTAACATGCAACTATTACCCCAATCTGTGATCTCTTTGTTGCTTACTTTCGATTGTGTAAGGGGAGAAGCAGCTACCATCTGGCTACTCGGAAGGGCTTTGGAGATAATAATGTCTTATTAATAATAAGAGTTGGAAGGAGCGCTTCTTTCTCGTAGGTTCAAGTCGACATTGGCGGTTCTATCTCGCTTGGTTGGCACACTCCACATATAACATACTTCCTTTCTTGTCGGACAAAGACTCATATTAAGTGCTTTGGTTAAAAGATATAGTCTCTTCTTTTGAGGCTATGTGGAAGATGGATGAGGACTAGCTATCGACGTGGGTCTTAGCCCAACTCTTCGAGGTATGATCTAAACACCTTGTCTTCTCACTTCTTTTGTGCTTTAAAAAAATTAACCCGTGTAGCCTTGTAGCTTTGATTTTTTTGTAGGTATAGATCTTCTGAATAAAAAAGCAAATGGTTTCTCTTCGGGCATGATGGTGGCCTCTTTGGCTCCTCCGACTATTGTTCACAAGTTGTCAATCGAGGCGAAGGTTAATATTTGACTTCTGTAAGGGCAAATTCCTACTATTTTCAGAATTGTAGATAGCTGACCTATCGAATTCGACCCAAAATATACTATTGCAGCTAAGATGAGAGGGTTTGTAAGAGAGGCAAAAAATATGGGGAGATGGCGAAGCCACAGAACAACACTGCAAGGGGTCCTTATGCTTGTGAGTGATGAAGCAGATTTACCATTCCCCCTTGAAGGTTTTGATCAACACATGCTACTGTAATGAAGTGCTAATAAGTTAAGTCATGGCTAGTCCCTTTAGTTTCTCCTTGCTTACCCCTTTGTTTTTGGTTTGTAGCAACACCATTATGTCACAACTCTTACTAATCACATATGAGACGTCGGCTTCATCATTCACCAGCAGTCCCTTATGATCGATAATCTCTGCAAAAAAATAGATGTGTTGAAGTAAAGGGGAGACCCTATGCTTATTGTCAAGATAGAGGCTGGACGGTTTAAGCTAGTAAGGCATTTAGAGGATGTCGATCAACGCCTCACTGACTATGCCTAGTAGTTGAAAGGGGTTCCGAGCAACAGCCAACATATGAAGAACGAGATGTTGCGACTTACTTGAAAGTTGGATTCGATAGAGACATAAAACTCGAAGCTCATCGAGCAAGTTGCTATGACTAATGAGTGGGTCATGAGTATCATCGAGCAAGGGTATAAAGGAGGTGCCAAGACTAGGTAAAGCATGATATCGAGGTATTGGGAGGAAGCAATCGTCGACTACAAGGCCTTCATCGGGCTTAGGAAGCCTAGAGAGATTAGGGGTCATCTCGTATCAATATGGGTACTATATTACCGTAGCCCATTTTAAATTGAAGTATCCTAAGGTGGAGATTGAGGAAGATCTATTCATTCGTTGATGTTAGGTTGCAGTTGAACATCAATTCTGCGGAATTTCGTGTAGGATTGAAAACCGAGAACTTGCCAATTCAAACAAAGAAAATAAAAACACATCATCAAAAGAGTAGAAAATGGAGATAACATATTCTGCGATCCAGAAGACGCTTAACCCTTATAAAGTTAGATTTCTCTATTCCTGTGACTAAGTATGCTTATCAACAGTATTTAACCTTTTAATATTTTTCGATTAATATCAAATAATATGATACACAAGTACCGTACTGATTTGGTAGATTATACCCATCTCGGATATTACATCTCGTGGTTAAAAAGGAAATATAATTGCATTATGGTACATATAGACAATTTAAATGAAGACATAAAAAAAAAAATTACATCACGTGCTATCAACAATAAATATTAACATTATTCATGCAAGAGGCTATCACGTGGTTTGGTTATGGGCCGAAGTCGGCCCGCCCAATTGTTGCCCAACTACCCCTTTTATTTTAGGTCTGCCAAAATAACTCCATTTTCTTCTCACTCCAATTCCCCCCCTTCCCTCTCCGATCTCGGCTCAGACTCTCCTCTTGTGATGGCGTCCGCTGGCAAAGCCCTCTCGCAATCGTTCAAGAAGTTCTTCAAGATGCCGTGGGATATCACCGGGCCCTGCTCCAGCCCCGAGTACCGTAGCTCCCTCCCCAAGGCCACCGAGTACCGCCGCTTCTGCCCCGCCACCGCGCCCGCCAAGGTCTGCGTCCCCACCACGGAACCCGAAACCGTCTTCGACATCAAGTACTACACGCGCGATCGTCGCCGCGATCGGCCCCCCGTTCGCCGGACTCTCCTCAGGAAGGCCGACGTTGAGCGGATCATGGCCGCCAAAACCTTCGGCCCTGATGATTTCCCCAAGGTCTACCTCACCGAGAAGGTGGAGGAGGACGAAAATGCCCGGGGCGGCGGGTACCAGTAGTGAGGCAGGTCTGGGTTTCCCTCTTATATCGCGATTAGGGTTTGTGCAGATACAATACTTTTCTGGTGTCTCTAATAATGAATGCATCAAAGATCCTCTGTCCTTAATGAAGTTAATAGTTAATAAGCAACATTTTGTCAACATCTGTAGTGTCACGAACCGTTGTCGTGCACCCGTAACAACTTCGTTCAACAAATCGTTCATCGCTTTTACATGCATGTACATATGCTTAGCAGCATGATTTGCTTGGTTTTATGTGTTTTTGTTTGAAAAATACAAGCAAGAATAGTTTGCAGTGCTGTAGTGCGATCACTCACCACGCTGGGCAAAACTGTCCCAAAATAGTTTCGTTTTCGCATACCACGGCTTGTTTTTTGTAGATTGTAGTTGTGCATGAAACGTCAGCCATCTTAGACCCTTGGAACCTCCTAGGTGGCACAGGGGTGGATGAGGCCTTGGGATAGTGTTGGGCGTTATCGGTATACACAAGTGCCCACGTTAACTTGACGAGAACTTGTCATCGTGCCCGACATCCAGTGAGCAATCGTTTGTAGACTTGCAATTGTTCGTTTTGTATTCTAAAGTCCTTGTTTTCTTTTTCCTCTCTTTTTTCTCTTGCACTCAAAGTGTTTGTTGAATTGTTTATAAAGTTTTCCTTTTCGTGAGACGTTGAGATTTGTCTGTCGTTCGTTTTTGAACTAATCAACTTATTCTTTTACATGTCCTACGGGACCTGAGCGAGGTTGTCAATTGGTTGACCCTTTGTGAATGCATATTGTAAGGGTGCGTCATGACTTAGACAATCTCAGCTAAACCCGAAAAGTTAGCGCAAGGGTATCTCACGACTTAGGCAATTTCAGCTCAATCCGTGACATTGTGGTATCAAACTGGGCAAACAATTCGAGCAAACAACGAATAAACTTTGCAATCTTGCTATGGCGAAGCATCGTGGTGAATCAAGCAAGATGGGGCAAGTCGGACCATTACCCCAAGCAACCGTAGGTGGGCTACAAGTGCAAACTCGCTCTAATGCCGTTGGAGCTGCTCAAGGGGAGCGTGGCAGCGAACATTACGAGCGAGAAGTTGACTACTCTTCGCGAGCAAAGGAGGCATAATCTGAAGCGCTAAGTGAAAAGAGTCATAAGGAGAGACTCAGCGGCGGAAACCCGCCTTGATGTTCTTGAAGCGAGTTTCGAGAAACTCTACCAAGGCCAACGAAAGCTTTTTGGGGTAGAGAGCTCGCAAGAAGCTGAATCTCGAATCGACAAGGTAGAGTTCTGAGTCGATCGACTAACGGAAGACACTAAAGACTCCGTGCAACATCCGCATGAAATTGTGGTGGAACTTAAACCAAAGTGGCATTTCTCACAAGGGCACTAAATGCAGGAGGGAGTAACACCCGCGTATGCCGCCACAAAATTTAAGAGCACTCGAGCCGCATTGCTACGGGGGTGCCAGGGATACAAAGGAGCTTGAGAATTTTTTATTCGACATAGAACAATACTTTCGAGCTATAAGGCTCAATTATGAAGATACCAAAGTTTCGATAGCAACCATGTATCTGAACGGGGATGCAAAACTTTGATGGCGAACCCGTTGGGAGGAGATCCAACAAGATCGGTGTTTAGTGGACACATGGGAGGACTTGAAGCGGGAGTTGAGAACTCAGTTCCTACTCGGAGTTCGTTGTAAGGAGGAAGCTGAGACAACTCTGCCAAAGTACTTCTATTCATGATTACGTGAAACAATTTTTCGCACTAATGCTAGGCATACAAGACATGTTCGAAAAGGATAAGCTGTTCAGTTTCCTCGATGGCCTGAAGCCGTGGGCACAATGGGAACTGCATCGAAGGAATGTCACTAATGTGATCGGGGCAATTGCAGTTGTGGAAAGCCTCACTGACTTTGTTTCCTCGGAGGACTTAGGGAAAAAGAAACAATCGTCAGGAAATTGCCTACCAAAATATTCTCGAGGGAAGGGGTTTGGGAGCGAACAAAGGAAGAAGAGTTCCCACAAAAGGGCTAAACTCAAAAGGCAAGGCCCCAAAACCTAACGGATGTTTCTTATGCGGAGGGTCGCACATGGTGAGGAAGTGCCCACAAAAACAAGCACTCATTGCCTTAACAACTTCAATCCACCCCCCCAAATCGGATAAGGGCAAGGTTGTTGCCCTTAGTTTGAGTAGTTCGGAATCCAACAGTAATGATGAGGAGTACAAGGACCCCGGATGGGAGCAATGCGTTTGTTGAATGCTTTGTGAGGTCAAGTGGGGGAGAACTTGAAGGCAAAGCCATAGAAAGTAGGGAGCAGCGAGTTGATGTACGTGGACATCAAGCTCAACGGTCGGACAACCCATGCGATGGTGGACACGGGCGCCACCTACAATTTCATTGCCGACATAGAAGCAAGGCGACTTGGGCTAAACTTGGAGAAGAACCTAAGATAAAAGCAGTGAACTCGGAGGCTAAGCGAATCTCTGGACTAGCAAAGGCGGTACCCATCAAGATCGGGACATGGAGCGGAAGTAGGCGTTGATCGGTATATACATAAATTCGCATGTTAACTTAACAATAACTTACTATCACGCCTGACACCCAGTGAGCAGTCGTTTGTGGACTTGTGACTGCTCGTTTTGCCTTCTAAAGTCCTTGTTTTCTCTTTCTTCTCTTTTCTCTCTTGCACTTAAAGTGTTTATTGAATTGCTTGTAAAGCTTCTCTCTTCGCGAGATATCGAGATTTGTCCGCCGCTCGTTTTCGAACTAATCAACTTGCTCTTTTATAGGTTTTACGGGACCTGAGCGAGGTTACAAATTGGTTAACCCTTTGTGGATGCATATCGTAAGGGTGCATCATGACTTAGGCAATCCCAGTTAACTCTGAGAAGTTAGCGCAAGGGTACAATCACGACCAAGGCAACTCTAGTTAAGCCCGTGACTTGATCGTAAGGGTGCCTCACGACTTAGGCAATTTCAGCTAAGTCCGTAATAGTAGGCTCATGAGGAATTGTCCGCGGCGTATCCATACAGTTTTGCCCTTTTGGGGCTCATGAGCCTCAAAAGGTGCCTCTGAGGGTAAGGGTGACTCGACGGACTTATAAGCTTTTGACTCCCTTATTCCTCAACTAACATGGGACTAAATGCCTTTATTAGTTGACCCCCTGTAGGGGGGCCAAGGACGGAGGCTCATGACCCTCTATCCCGAAGGCGTAAGCTCGTCTTGATGGCTCACGTGGTAATCACGAGTGGTGATTGGAGTGAGAGAAGGTCTGGCTGAAGCAATCTCGAGGTGCCGCTTGTTCGCCCGAGTTGGATTCTACTTCAGACCAAGGTGGTTTGGGCTTTCTCGAGGTTCTAGAGATAAGCCGAGGTGTGCCTTGGCTTCGCTGGGAACCCTACACAAGCGATCAGCATCAGGGGAGTTCCCGACCCGACCCTTCCATTGATAAAGTTAGTAGTGAAGTAGGAATAGTAGAAGTTCTTCGGTCCAGTCCTCTCTTCAGGCTTTAGGGGTCGGCTTTTATACTTGAGTGGTCGATGGAGGTAGGCTGATGGTTGATCAGGGAGGACTCGTATGTCCTTCAAGGGCTCATTCATGTCAACGATCGGTTGGTACATCTCCCTGTGGTGCGTCATCAGTGAAGGACGACTATAGGGGCGTTGTTTGTCAGGGTTGACGCCTACCTAGGATAAGCGGACGATAGGAGACCGGAAAAAGGGGGAAATAGGCTTCCTTGCCAAGGATTAATGCTCCCTACGGCCAGCCCATGTGGCCTTTCCCGAAACTGCGATTGGTCGGGGGCGAAAGGTCGCTTCCCTGTCGCTCGCCGCAAGAGAAGGGAGGCATGTGGGTTCTTCTGCCCATGCCATCGTCTAGGTGGCAGCGGGTTGTTGGATGAGTCAACAGGTCAATGCTTATGTCATTATTTCCCCTATCAGAAGTCTTGATTTGGTGTTTGCTATGTTTTACTACAGACTGATACTACTTCATCTGTTCTTGAGGCATCGCCTCCTGGGCCGATGAAAACGAGAAATCTTATCTTTCCGATGAGTATGAATATTCATATCCGTTTCTCTATGAATATAGAATTTGGATTTGATGAATTTGTGTCTTATCTTGAAACCATTACAATTCAGATGTTTACTCCTCCCCGTTCTGGTGAATTCTAGGATTCTTTTGATGTCATTTTGATATTATTCACCCTCTTTCTCTATATTATAGGGGGGATGATGTTTTTCCATCCTTCATTTAATTTCTTGCTGACCTTCATTCTATCTCTTAAGATTCAGTGGTCGTATATATGATCCTTTCACTTTGGTAATTCTTAATAAGTAAAATGGTAGACTGAAAAAAAAAGGAATGCCACTATTTTGCTGGGTTTCTGTCATTAGGTCAGAAGGTAGACAAATAAGAACGTGCTGCTATAACTGGAGAATAGCTGGAAGAAATGTAGGACAGATGTTAGTAGACAAATATAAGACAGAAACCTGAGAAGTTGGGAAAGAGAGTTTAATCCAATAAGATTTGATACACAAAAAATGTTTTACATACAACTTATTCTATTCTGCAATCAAATTCAGTAACATATCATAAGGCTCATAATGTATAAATAAGGAAAAATTAGGTTGATAGGTTTCCTTGTCATGGGAGCATTATACTCTTTTGGTAGACGTTTAATGATAGGAGGATGTTAAACAAATCTATAAATGGCAGTTACATAACAGTCATTGTTTTTTTAGTCTACTTATATCTGGCTCTTCTATCTGCATTAGGACCAGATCCACATAGAAGAATACCCCGTTGTTTAGATATCTATTTGAGTACTTATGGAACTTTATATCTTAGATAAATTCTTTTTGTTTGGGTCTAGGCTTCACTCTGACTGACTAATTAAAAACACAAGCTAAATAACTAATTGGTACCTAGATGACTTACATTGAACCCATTATACACTTATAAAGTCAAACTGGATTCATCTATAACGATAGCTGCTGGACCAGTCAGGTCTAGTATTGATTCCTTTATTTAAATGACCCTTTGGGTTCACAAACCTGATTTAAAAGCTAATGGCTACTCGTCACTGAGTAATTTTGTTAAGACAGACAGAAAAACTTACTGTATAATGGAGTTCCTGGAGGACTCCTAGCTAAAGTATAATATTACAAGAAAAGATAACAACTAAGCAAACTTGGTTTTGCTGTAATCTGATTGTTACACGAATACTTATTTAGCAGATGAGGCCAACAAACATTGGCTTCCATTTCACAAGAATGATTCAAAGTTTTACATTCTTTTAAAGCATTTGATAGGTAGTATAAGTTTTGGTTGGCTTTGGTGTCAAATTTTTAATATATAACCAGGTGAGGGAAATTGAGAAAGTTGTCACATATGTTTTTGTAGATGTGTTTTAACATCGCAGGAAATGTTATTGACAAATTTTAGTCATGGTATGATACTACCACTATGCACTTTAGGTTCCGGTTATAATTTTTGTTAATTGTGAGAACATTTAATGAATTTGTATTTATGGATGGTATAGACCTGCACTTTAGGTTCAGGTATTACGCTAGGTGAACTTGTTATTATCTTTTAACTTTCTTTTGAAACTTGTCTGGTGTTGGTCGTGGTCCAGGTCTTAGATTCATTTTAGTAGCGTTATTTGGAAGTTATCCTTTATCTAATTTTTCTTTGTTTTTTACTATGAAACCAGTGGTCGTTCTGGTGGGTCATGTTTTACCGGTTGTTCTGGTACCTCTCAGACAACAGTTACAGGGTTTGACACTGACATTGCAGAAGAGCACAAAAAGACTTAAAATTCTGGCTCTGTATCACAGCTGTTAGACTAAAAACCTTGAAGCCTGTAAGCTTGATTTTTTTTTTTTCACAAATAAGTTAGAGATATATTGCCAGTGGAGAATAGGTGGATGTAACTGATGATACAAGTTTTTCAAAAGCACTAATTATTGATTATCAAGCAAATTAGTTGGATTCATTAATGCTTATACATTCAACACGCAGATGCTTTTAGCTTGCCCTTGTACTCTCCTGGTTGTAGTTTGACAAGTCATGATGCACTGGTTCAGTGATACATCATAAAGAGTTTATCTGATATTGATGTTTTTCATATATGATGGATGATTCCTGTAGCCTCATAAATGCTTCAGCTAATTAGACCTACAAGAAATCATTTTATTTAATGTTTCCTACTAGTACCATAAGCTCGTAATAGAATATGGTGCATTTGAGAACATTCCTTTACTTGATACAAACAATATGCCGTAGCTCTTTATTTCCGAGAAGAACACATATATGTATATATATCTCATCTTTTTCTCCCCCTTTTTACAGGTTGCAGAGCCTGTCTTCTTGCATCTCGATTAGGCTTGTGCTGCTGGGTTGATTTCAAGAAGTGCCATCTCACCACTAGTTCTGTTGTGTTCATTGGGCTGAATTACTGTGCTCTTGCCAGAATTTTCTTTTGCTGAGATAAATTTGAAAATTGCTCTCGCAACTGTGTTCGTCTTTCACAGGGAGAATGATTGAATAACAATAAACCATGAAGTTCCCTATTGTTTTTCCTTTTCCAATTGTTTTTGTTAATATATGCTATTTTGATACATTTTTGCTAATTTGTGATTTATATTGTTTGATATTCAATTTACTTTCAGATGCAACATCAGATGAGTTAAACAATTAAATCGGCTCAAGGATTTGATAAATAGTTGGTGACTAGATACTTAGGCTGAGAAAAATCTTTGGGCTATTTATATAGTATAGTAGTTAGTTCTCTATAGCATTTTGATTCATATATTTAAAAAATTTATATTAAAAATTATAAAAAATAAAATATTTAATTTCATCTATGCTAATATTGTTAGTTTTATTGATGAAAAATATAGCGATGTTAAAGCAATGAGTAAAAATATAATTTTAATATTTTAATTATTTTTTATTTGTTTTGTCTTAATTAAAATTTTTTAGTTGATTATTATGGTGGTGGTGGACAGTGACATCGTCAAGACTTGTGGGTAGTTATTATAATGGTGGTCGATGTCGATAAGAATGACTCGGTGGTTGATGGTCGATGTCGATAAGAATGACTCGGTGGTTGATCTTCGAGATGGGAGCAACACTCAATAATGATGGAGCTTGAGAGACTTTTATTGCTTCTTACAAGAGGAGGAAGAGAGAGAGTAACAATGAGAGGTAAGGCAAAAAAAGAGGAGGAAGAGGACAAGGACAATGGTCGCTCTGTATCGTCTTTCAATTGTGTTAATGTCGCCCTACATCTGTGTCGGTGGAAGGTGAGGCAAAGGCCTTGCGTCTCGTCGACGCAGATGTAGCGCAGTGTCAACATAGATGCCTCACATCCCATCGATGCAGATGCAAAGTAGTGCCAAAGGAGGAAGAAGAGGGAGAGCGATAAGCAGAGTGTATATCAATCGATATCCTCCATCGATTGGACCTCGAATGAAACAGCGGGAGCTTCGCTAAATATCACCCGGATCACAATCGGGTTGCCCACCTTTGGCTTCCAATCCATACCAATTCCGTGGCTGCCTACTTCTGCTCCTCCTCCGTCACCACCATTGTGGGTCCATGATGATGGGAACATAATCCTGTGGTGGGACAGTAATTTCGGGCTGAGTTAAACAATTTACTTTCAGATGGAACATCAGATGAGTTAAACAATTAAATCGGCTCAAGGATTTGATAAATAGTCGGTGACTAGATACTTAGCTGAGAAAAATCTTGAGGCTAATTACATATTATAATAGCATAATACGAAGTTAGATCTCTTTACCATTCTTGTTCATATATTTAAAAATTTATATTAAAAATTTTATGGTTATGAAAGTGAAATATTTAATTTTATTTACACTAATACCATCAACTTTATCGATGAAAGATATAGCGGTATTAAAATGATGAGTAAAAATATAATTTTAATATCTTAGTTAATTTTTATTTGTTATGTCCCAATTAAAATATTTTAGTTGACTATTATGGTGGTGATGGATGGCGACATTGTCGAGGCTTGTGGGTAGTTATTATGGTGGTGGTCGATAAGAATAACCCGATGGTTGACCTTTCCGATGTCGATCTGAGCATTGACAATCGAGATTGGGGCAACAACCACGATAACGATGGAGCTTGAGGGACAACGAGAGGTAAGACAAAGGAATAAGAGGAATAGGACAAGGACGATGGTTGCTTTGCATCGTCCTGCAATTGTGTTGGTGTCGCTCTGCATTTGCATCTGTGGGAAGTGAAGCAAAGGCCTTGCGTCTCGCTGACGCAGATGCAAAGCAACGTAGTGTCAACATAGATGTCTCACCTCCCATCGATGCAGATGCAAAGTAGTGCCAAAGGAGGAAGAAGAGGGAGAGTGACAAGCGGAGGGTATATCGATCGATATCCTCCATCAGTCGGACCTCAGATTGTCTAGTTGAATGAAACCGTAGGAGCTTCGCTAATTATCACCCGGATCATAACTAGGCTACCCGACTCTAGCTTCCAATCCACACCAATTCCATGGTTGTCTCCTTTCGCTCCTCTTCCACCACTACCATTGTGGGTCTATGACAATGGGGACATGATCTTATGGCAGGACAACAATAAGACCCATCACGTCTATAGCAGGGATGGCTATAGGTAGCAAATCAAGGTTGTTGTCGACGACTTGCTTGGTGAGGTTAGCATGATATATGAGGCAAGTTACATGAGACATGAGCCAGGTATCAATGCAGTCCAAGTGGAAGATGTGATTACAACGAGGGAGGAGGTGGAGTTCCTCGTCATCCTCAAACTCACCGAGGCACACCGTACACTTGAGCGCCCCCCTTCCCCACCTTCAACCCCTTAACTTCATAGTACACTAGTGTTGGAAATGTCTCGAGGACCTAAGGGCTCAGCCCCTATCGCCATCGAGAGCGGGTTACGCCACTTGTGGCACGGCGACGCCATCGTCCGTCATCACCATAATAGTTGATTAAGAAGTTTTAATTAGGATATAACCAAAGAAAACATAATTGAGATGCTAAAATTATTTTTTTACTCATTGCTTCGTGTCGTTCGTGCACGTGTCTATCATGTACTATATGTAAAGCCAACGACGTTATGATAAATGAGGTTAAATGTTTCATTTTTATAGCTACAAAAATTTTAATATAATTTTTTTAAGTCTACGGACTAGGATGTTAAAGAGGTTTTACTACACGATGTAATACGTAATTAAACGAGAATCATATGGGAAAAGAAGAGATGAGTAGTTGTTGACTATAAGCGCAATTGGTTCGGACAAGTTGATATGGTTGATCGTTGCTTTCGTAACGAGAACGAAAAGGTTTCGTTCGAAAATGATGAGATTGAAGTGATCCATTAGGTCATTTTCTTTCCTTCGAAAATGATGAGACAACTAATATACTACGGTCAATTGGGACGATGAACAACTAACTTATGACCATCAAGAAGGTGGTCATTCATTTGGATTAAGATCGATGCTGAGCGCCTTGTGTTCTAAAGCCACTTTTTAATAGCATTACCCTATATCTAACTAAGGTTATAAAATGGTCAATCGAGAATGTCTTGGAAACTGTTCTCTTGCTGCAAGTTCAAATTAAAAATGAGCATTCACTAACAGAGGTCGCAGTTCTCCGGTCACAGGGAAAATGAGAAAAATATACATATGCGGTGAAAGCCGGAAGGATAAGAAAGAAGATTGGCATGAAAAAGAAGTTGGTCATTCAAGTTTCCCTGTTGCACATTCCCATCAAGAAGCTTATTCCTCTTTTTCTGCGATTCAAAGTTGTGCTTTCCTATGCCAGTCAAATTATTACTACCTCTGATGTTTGAATGAATGCCTAATCACCTTCATTGTTTGACTTTTGATCTCATTTATTATGTTGCTTTTCCTGCATGCTTTCTTCTCTTTTGCTTTACTGCAGTTGTATTATTACGACGCTTATTCTCAACAAAAAAAAAAAAATATATATATATATATATATATATATATATGCATATCATTCATTAATCAGCCTACACTCATAGGTGTACTGCCTACGACTCATTCGGACTCGGTGATACTGAAACACATTAACGGTGCTTTCAATGGACTGCTCAATGGGACCATCTATTTTGATGGAAAAAGGCTGCTCGATATTCTTCACACACTTTTTCTCTTCTCCCAAAGATAATTGAATCGATTCAACACTCAATCCAAGGCGAAGATGCGAATGACTCTTTCCCGCAAGATGGCAGAAACTTGTGAACACAAGTGCAGAATGAGTTAGTTCCTGATGGGTTTCGATAATATATCATCAGCCCTTGTTTGGCCAAGAAAACAGTGGACTTTTGCACTGATAGACCTCGGAGTGTTCTTGAGATCCAAGATCAAGAAAGAGGTCGATTTGCCTCGTCAAGAGGGAGTTGCTGGTCTTGGTCTAATTATGCTTTATAGTAGAAGAACGAAACCCAACGAGGTGGTGAAGTTTGAAGTATGTTTGCAGCACATCCAACCGAGTCATTGCTTGTCCAGAAACACTATCCGAGTTTCGTGAGGTATGCTGCAATCGCACCCATCAAAGGAGGGTGAGAAAATTGTTCTTGGCTCTTTGCATATCAAGTGCAAACAAAACAAAACAAAACAAAACAAAACAAAAAAAGAATGAAAGAGTATTCTTCTTTTCGTTTACTTTTGTTGTCAACTGCATGTATAGGTTGGAAGCTTGTTTATGCTTTCACCTAGCAAATGGGTTTCGTCTCTTATGTTTCATGATGGATGGCAGTACAAGAGGGCAGATCGAAGGGAAACAGGATCCAGACCACCTCTTGTTTGGACCTTCATGGTGAAACAAGTCCTCTCGAGCAGCAACAACATTTACATACGGTAAATGGTTGGGTGCAGATTGTGATCGGACCAAGTAAGCGCTGAGAGTTTGTTTGATGCTTCTCTCTACTACTTTTGTCTGTAGAGCATGCATGCTGTCGGTCACCTAATTTGGATATCACAACTTTCCCATCCCGTGTTTAGCTTAACATAGCATAGCATAGCATAGCAGCATGGATAAATCTCTTGACATCTGCACCAGTTGTAATTCTAGAATCTCTACCAAAATGCAAACAACAAGTTGTGTGGTCCCTGAGACTAGAGCGCTCTTAAAAGCTCTCTAGGGTTTTAAGGAGAAGACAGCTTCCCCGCAGCTCCAAGTTCTTCAGACCACATTAATGTGCCAAACCTTTTACTCTCCTTTTGGTGTTTCGGAATCTTTAGCCACCACAAGTAAGTTGTCAGCTTATGGAACGGTTAAAACTCGAAAGACCTGCTCGAATACCCGTAATCGTTTTCTCCTTTGCTTTGTGCCAACAACACGACTATGTAGTGTAACTCTGATATAAATGTGTAGGATTTCCTTGGGAGGGACACCGCCCTTGTAAGAACACCGATCTGGATGGTCCCATGTCTCGAATTGGTAGTACGTCCATTATGTTTCTGCTCTTCATCATCAACCACTAGAATATGTCCTCTTTTCCTTTCATCGACAGAATTGTTATCTTGCTTTTATCCGATTCGGTCGTCGAGATATTATTATTACCCGAGCAAGCAAAGCATCTGTTAGGTCGGATCAAGATTTCTCTTTGGAAATCGGGAAGGCGGTCGGTGATGGGCAAAGAAAAGGTGAAAGATGATGATCCACAGCTATAAACACACGCACACCATGCTTGCGATCGCTCCATAACCTTTCTTCTTAGGACCAGCGCCAACTGAGCATCTTTGTCTTTCCCCATCGTGTTCTTCTAGATGTTCATCGTCTCCGGAAGGGTTGGGTTGGTCTCGAACTAATTAAAGGCAGCAAGATCTGTTCGACAAGACCATCTTCGAGGTAAATTCTTCTCATCCTTTTCTTGCCGAGAGTTTTCTCTTGTTAATCTCTCTCCAGTTCTTATTCTCGTCCGATCACAAGCGTAGGAGGGTTTTGATCGCCTGTTGCTGTTCCTAAGGACTACAAAATCTCAATAATTGTCTTTCTTCTTGTTGTTTCTCGACCGAGTTTTATGATCACACAACTCCTTGGGAATCCAAACCCTTAAAGCACATAACCAGCCGGTATTATTTCCTGCAATATTTGGAGCACCCCCTCGAACAAAATAGCTATCAGTGTTTGCCGAAGAAGCTTATTATGCATACTCGACTACTTTTGTGGTTCCTTCCTTTTAATTTTCTTCTTCTTCTTCTTCTTCTTTTAATTTCCTTTTAAAGATCTTTGATATTTGTTCGCCAATGATACCATGATCCCGATAAAGAAAGTTTGTTCTCATGATGTGAAATTGCTCCCACCGTCTCTCGGTAATCATATTAACCGAGGAAAAGAACATCAACAATTTCCTGACTGTGTTCTAATTTGTTCCCGTCCGTCGTCGTAGCATGCTTGAAGTGGCTCTCTATGTTCATATCATTGCTACACGCATCTCAGCTCTTCTTTCTCTTCCACACAAAGGCAGGGCGCGCATCTGAATGAATTAGTCTTGAACCGATCACATCGCAACTCCTACAGCTAGCTGGTCGTCGAGCTGGAGCACTTCAGAACAAGGAGCGATGGTGAGGGCCATAAGATCATGATAAATAGATCGAGAGAAAAGGAGAAGGCGACCAGACAAGAAGGTGCCACGAGCGATGGCAAATTCCCGGTGAGCTCCAGACCATGGCTGGGACTAAGGAACCCACGAATCGTTCGCGTTTCTCGCGCGTTCGGAGGGAAAGACCGGCACAGCAAAGTCAGCACCATCAGAGGATTGAGGGATAGGCGCGTGAGGCTCTCCGTCCCAACTGCCATTCAACTCTATGATCTGCAAGATAAGCTGGGAGTCGATCAACCAAGCAAGGCCGTCGACTGGTTGCTTGCTGCTGCTCAACACGAGATCGACAAGCTGCCTCCGCTTCCGTTTCCACCGGCAAGTTTCACACAACTCGGCCAATCGTTTCCGATCTCGACCGCTTTCTCCTATCATCATCCAATCACATCCCAAGGCCTTGCGCTTACTCTTCACGACAAAGATGTCAAGTGTGCAGATGAAACCGGAGATTGCCCCTTGGCATTGTTTTCGTCGGCGGCTGAAAACGACGGAGTTCTTGGGAATAAAGCAGCTGAGCTCGCCAAGTTTCCAGGTTTCAGTTTGAGTTCAAGCGTAAGAACAGATGTTACGACGAGACAGGTTATCGGAGAAGGCAAAAACGACGACAACGTCCGAAGTTATTGTGCACAGGTTTCCGAAGCCTGTGATAATTCGTTGACAGGCTCGGGAAGTAATTTGATCCCACATGCTTCCCACTACTATCACTCGAATCCGGCAAATTCGAATGCATATGAGCACCAGTTTGGAGGCAACTCATCTTCGCCGCCATCGGTTCCTGGATCCCAACTGGTCTTTTATGCCTCAGGAGGCACACCGCCGATGTTTCCAACGTATATGACCCCTCCGAACGGCTCGAGTTCGAGGCAGTCGATCCACATTCCATCTGCAGCTTCACAAGATCTCCGATCAAGTTGTGAAACATTTCTTCGGTCCGGCAGCCATGTATCGGTGAGACCTTCTCAGCAAAGATCATCATCCGGTGTTCACCGTCCTTTCGATCGTCATGAGAACTAGCTAAACGAAAAAGTCTTACGAGAAGAAAGAGAGATGGATGGATCGATCAGGCTTCTCGTGTAAAGCATGCCGTTCCAAAAAACAGAAGAGCGATACATATAAGAATGCTTCAAATGCGAACATTTTCTACCGAGTGTTTGTGATGAATTCAACTCTTTGTCCATTCGTTAGTTTCTTTTGATAACGGGGGGGAAGCTTGTGATCGCAATGGCATGTGCTTCGTTTTGCTATTCAGCATTCTTTCCAGTAACCGAGATGGTAGATGCGTACGCCCACCATGTTCCCCGAGGCATTATTGTTTACGGCACTTGCTGCTCATCTTTGATTAATCTTCGAGCTACGGTCTCCATGTTATATGTATGTCAACATAAATAGAATGTTGTTGAGGAAGGAGGTCTTGCTTATGGCATTATTATATGGTTTGACCTCGCCTTTGGATGTCACCGCGGAAGCGTTTTATATGAATGAAACGATGCCAGACGGTGCAACACCACCACCTCAAGGTGGTGTGGAGGAGGGCAGCTGGGAGAGATGGAAGTGCTTCCATAGCCGGTGCAGATATGCTTGTTTTCAAGAGACATGGAGGACTTTGCAGTAAATGTCAAAGCAGCATGAGATCCAAGGAAGCGAAAGGGACGCAGGGCCAGTAGTTGGGTGGGGGTTTCAGTGTGGAATGAAAAGCTGGCAGACTGGTATGGTCCCATCGCCATGGAGAAAAAGGATGCATGCATAGGCCTTCTCTTTAGGGTTTTGCATGTTGTTGTTTGTGGTCCGCTTCTTTTGACAGGGGGCCAAACTTTCTCAGATGGTCCCCGGAGACTAGCTTCCAGTACGGCCATCCGTTTCCCTCGAAACTAGTTTTTTTGTGGGCAGTGAGTGACACCATTTCAAGAACACATCAATATCTGCTCGAGATCGTCGAGCAGATATCGATGTCTTATGTATCGGTTGATGACATGGGCAAGACGATGATCGATGAGTAAACTATAAAGAATGAGTTTCGATGGGTACAACAATAAGGTTTTACAGTACATTATCTATCTTTGAACTTAGATTTATAAGGTTGGCATGCATCATCATCATCCACTATTTGGTCTGTGTTGTCTGTTCTTGTTTCTTGCTTCCTTTGATAGGGATAGAGTGGGGACCCAAAGCAAAGTTGTGTATAGAGAACCTGTAATGCATCACGTAGAACAAAGCAACTGACTCGTTCACCAACAAAAACAAAGTTCCTTCCATCAAAAGCACTGCACAACAGCTCCAAGACACATGAAATTTAAGTGAACTCACAATACAATCTGAGACGATAAAGAAAACACCGGGCAAAGAAATTTCAACTTTAGACATCTTTTTCCTCTTTTCCTCCTCTTCCTATCACTAATAATATACCAAGCATCACAAGAATCGGCAAACAGAAACTTGAGCAGCAAAATTATGGGGAAAAAGAAAAGCTGATGTTGATGGAATATGAGTGTGCAGAAGCAAGGATGGACATTTCGGATCGCCATCATGAAGGTAGAAAGGATATCTTCCAGCTATTTGCAGGCAATCTGGTGATAAGCTTCAGGTTTCACTAGCTTCTAAAGCTATAATTGATGAGCATGCTGCACCTGAAAAATTCTATTTCAGTAATACCTGGATATAAAGATATGCCTTGTTGGATGGCAATCGTCAACGACAGTGGAGTGTCAATCGACTTGCAACTGCATTCACATTCAGGTAGGTCTGTGGTCAATGTCCAGTTTTGTAGATAGCTGAAAACAGAGTGGTTCAATGCAGGAAGTTCCTACCCATGAAGAGTCTGATGATGCATGCAGCCTCGCCCACAGAGCAGAGACAATTTTTCTCATCCAATTAAGCTCAACAAGACATACTGGATCAAGAATATCTTCATGCAAGAACTGTAACTCTACCAGATGTCATGCCACCTTTATGTTGTTTGAAGTGCCTAAGATGAAGCTGCAACATATCTAATGTGATACAAATTAGTCTCATATCTCAAGAGATTCTGGATCCAATTGGCATATGGGTTCCATGGACCTAAATAACTCATGGATTCTTCGGAATCGACAAATTCATGCATAAAAAATAGACCAACTTGAATCTTATAGTGGCTACCATTATATCATGCTGCTAAGTGGCATTTCTGAAACATTAGGCTATGTGATATCTTTAAAAATCTCAAGTTGGACGGGGAAAGAAATCTGAACTCACATCACGATAAAACAACACTCCTGTGTCTATCCTTTTAAATCTGTTTTCTATCTAATTAATCTAATATCAGTTAACTGGTGCCAGAATCCACGATGAAACTGTTGCAATGGTGTTGCACAGTTCCTGTCCATAGTAAGTGCAAACACGAACAAACTACAGTGAGAAGTAGAGCACAATACTGCTATATGGAAAAAGTGACGATCTTATTGTAGTTCCATTAAAGCATATATGATGTATACAACATGTATAACAGTTGTTCCATTTGCTAATATTCACAGTTGCTTGTGAAGGAAAGAGAGAAGATACGATTATGGTGTACTTGTTTAGCGTCTGACCGTCTGCCTTCTGCTTGCCTTGGATTGAAAACCAGTTGCACCTTGTCCGCTAATAACTTCATCAATCAGATCTTTAAATATTGACCTCTCTATCTCCAACACTATCGTCGGTAACTCCTTGCCAGAATCAGTCCAGCCTTCCGAATGCCGCAACATATCTTCGCCTGCCATAAAGCTGTTATCACCATACAAGCTGCCAGCAACAAAGCTCTCAGCTTTGAGATGTTCGATATCAGAACATATCTCTTTCAGCAAGCGTTGTCCGCTGGGAAACTTGGCCTTCCTGACTTGAAGCAGGGGGTCAGGGCGAGGGCCTGGACTAGCCAGCTTCAACTTTTGTATTAGGAGCTCATTCACTACATCAAATACCAGCTTGCGTTGAAGCTTCTCTGGATCAGACTTGAGCTGAACTATGTTTTGGCTAACGGTCACAGGCTTGGCAAGACAGGGAGACTTTGTTTGCTCCAAAACAAGAAACAAGTCAGGGTTTATCGGGTGGCCCGAAGGGTGAAGCTGGATGGGCACTGTGCTAATTGGTCCAGATGTTAGATCTCTCATCAGAAGGCCAGAAGCCAGGAGTATCTCAGACACATATCGATGGTCTGGGCTCTGCTTTTCACATAACAAGGCAATATGGTCAGTTGTGGAAGCTTCATCATCCTTTGAGCTTATCTGCCTCAGCTTTTGAACCAGGTGTTCGATGTTTGCAAGTTTCTTCTGGTTGAATCCAGAGCTTAAATTGGGTGATGGAGCATCAGGCAAGCCAGTTGGATTGCGACAATCAACTGAAGAAGCATGAATCTCGTCATCTGGCAATTCATTAGAAAAAAAGTTTGGTTATCACGCTAGTTAGTGCGGTTTATGTGAAGGAAATTATCATTCACTTGATATTTCAACTATATGCTTAATTACACTTTCCTGTTGATCTTTTTCCTTCTATTTCTCTTCAATAAGAGAAGAATCAACAAAGAAATAAATGATAATCTATATATGAATGTATGGAAATGTACAACACAGCGTGCAGAATATAAAGACACCAGATAAGTATGTTTATACTTGTAAGTGTTTACATGTGTAAAAAAAAATTACTTCATGCATTCATCTGTAATAATATTATCGATGCAACATAAGAAACATAGAAATTTCTGGGACTCTTTTATATTCCTTTTAACAAAAGAGTCTGTTTTTTTAATTTTTCATTCAGGTTGAACAACTTTTAAGGATGTAGACATTCGTCCAATCAATACGGGGTAAACACACATAAACATTGCAAATATAGGATGAACATTTGTGTCCCATGTACATGTCACATGGATATTCAACGGCTTGTCAGTATGACCTTGGCGTTACTATAGAACCATAGGTTGTGTTTGGTTGATGGTATAGTAATGGACCACAGTTTTGTTTAGCGGTCTATAATCCATATCTTTCTATGTTGGTAAGAGAGTTTAGGGATGTCTGCTCATATAAGGATGGCATAAGACATACTAAAAAAAAAAGCAAATTGATCTTTTCAATGGGTCCTCTCAGATCTAAATGATCGTTACCAACACATTACAGACTTGATCACTGCAGATCTTTATCCCATAATGTTGAGGATCACAGTAATCACATCTAGAGTATGGAAGAAGAGAGACAGGGAAAATAATTTAGCACTCGAGATCTCTTGATTTCAAGGTTGACGCCTCATTTAAGACTCGTAGCCAAAGACTAATGTGTGGTAAATCAGGTCTCTATCATATCTAGGACAAACTTCAGCTATCAAAATTAAAAAATATTTAATAATAACTGAACCATACCTTCGAATGATTTTGAAGATATCTCCTTAGGAGGCAAGTCATCCTGGTTAAGTGAAGCATGTAGAACAGGGATTGGAATTGGCTGCTTAGGAACAGCTGTTTCTATTTCCACGGCTAAACCATCTTCTTTCGAACTATGTGAGTTCTTCTGAAATAAATGAAAAAAATGGTACAAAAGGCTAATCAGTGTTGCACCACATACAATGAGCAAGGAACAATGAGGACCAAAAATGATGTTCAAACTGCTGAAATTTTTTATTAGTCAACAGTTCTTCATATCCTAGCTTCTTTATGGAAGCAGAAAATAAGATGAAATAAAGTTATTGTCCAGATTCTGATGTTTAAGTACTTGCAAATGGCATTAGCAGAATTTGAAACCTCATATGCTTCAAAGCAAAGAATCCATTAAAAAGTAGTTTATTCTAAGTTAGCTATGATAATTACCTAGGTTCCATTGTGCAAATATAGGATTTAGAACTGGCATTACGCCTAACTGCAATCTGGAGTAATATAAAGCACAGAGCCAACTGGAAAAGGAATATATAGTTTCTTTTTAAAGCACTTTGGCTCAATGCTTCTCAGATATCACAAAGCCCTAAGTCTTAAGAGTAGCAGAATCTTGGATCAAATTCAAATTTAAAATGGAAGTGATACGGACTTTCATAATAACTTTTTTTGGCATAATGGGATTCAATTTGAGATGGACATACCTTCCGGTACATGGCTGAAGAAGCACTCTTAGCACCCCTGCCAGATGGACTTTGGTTACCTTGCCTAAAGATGCAAGGATCATCAGAGTGGTTGGACCTTATTACTTCCGTGTCTGCCTGTGATATCAAGCTAATATGGCCATCTGGCTTTAAAGATATCTTGTCATACTGGTCATTCCGACTTCTTGTCTCACTACTAGTGTCATTGAGTTGGTCATTATTTTGCTGTGCTTGAGCTGGTTTTCGCCTGAGCCTTCCTCTTGGAGACACTGACTCTGAAGAATATCTGTTAGCAGGCTGTTTTGGAGGCATATTTGAGGGAGATGAAGGAAGTGGGGGACGAGACCTCTTTTCCATTTCAGATTTTTTCAGTTGTAATCTTGGGCTGAGAGAATTCGATGCTTTTACTGGACTTCCGAAGTCTTCTCTCAGTGCCCCTTGAAGCCTAGGTGACACCTGCGACATCCTCATACAATTTTTTTGTGTGCCATTTTCTTCTTTTCTAAATTTCTTATCTTCATAGAGAGGTGGTTGACAAGCAGTTTCCCTACAAGCCTTAGGCGTTTGGTCCTTATGCAATGTCATACTAACCGAAGCCTTCTTTTTATCCACAAGATTGCTGGTTCGTAACCTCTGAAGACCTGACAAGCCTTCTAAAGGAATAACTGAAGATGGAGAAATATCCAACCTGTTGAAAGATTTTGCGGGTTTCATGATTACTATTGGTGAATCGAAAGCTCTTGAAGTTTTGTCTCCTTTCGTAAATGTAGGATGCGAACCAATTGTGTTTTGGGCATCAATTGTTCCTACATTCTGAGCACTTCCAGATGGACTACTAGAAACTGATGTTTTGGAAGGCTGATCTGCGGTGTTCTTAGTCTCTAGTAGCCCCTTTGCATGCATAGCATCCAATATGTGCTTAAGAGCCCTGAGGTCCTTGTTGGATTGCTGGAACTCGAGCTCTTTCAGCCTTTTCTCTATCTCACTATAGACAGATTCTGATTGCTTCTTGATCTGACATTCTCGGGGTACAAATGTCATCTTCTGGGGGATGCAGATCTTGTCATTGTGCCTCCAAGGAGCTGGTTCAATTGGGACCCTTGACTGGAAAACAGGTTTGATGATCGAAGTGGGTCTTTTCTGCAGTGGAATAGCAGGGTCCTTGATGAAGCACTTATGGGAGCATGAGAGAAGATCCTCCTTGCAATCTTGAGTGTTTGTAAGTTGTTTAGAGGCGAAACCGATATTCTTCTGCCTATTGAAGTTGTCAAACTTTTTGTTGCTGTTAGTATCAGGTAGCACCACCTGCTCTTGGCTGTTGGGTTCTGCTTCCAAGCCCATGAGCTTTGCAACGATGCTATGAGGCCGCTTGCAACTTCCTGGTTCTTGCTGATGTTCCAAAATAACATCAGCTCTTCTGTTGATGCTGCTTCTGTCAAATTCTTTCAGGGTTGTGTTTGAGCATTCCCTGCCATCTAATGACAGCCTAGGGAGTTCTCTAAGTTTGGAAGAGATTTTGCTGCTTTCTCGAGAATCCAGAGAAGAACGTGAGTCTCTTCCATCATACGAGAATCTTGGAGCTTCCTTTGATAGTGGATAAAATGAAGTATCTTTTGCCTCATATGATTTTCTTGGTGGTTCATTAGCTTCTGAGAAGTACCATGGGGCTTTTTTGAGCTTGGCTAGGACTCGAAGGGATTCACCAAGATCAATGTGCACTCTTGATCTTCCATCAATTTCGGTGGTATGCGATGCATCCATTGACTTTGACAGCAGAATGGGCCTTGGGGAATCTTTGTGCTTCAATGTATGGTTCTTCGTTACCTCTTTGAGTGAAGTTCTTACTGATAAAGGCTGTGTATCTTTGTATATGGAGTCCTTCACGACATCTTGAAAATCAAGAGACCGGAAATCAGTTTGAATTGATACATTGGGAGGATTGCCTTGTAGTTCACAGCAAATAGGTTTTGCATGAACTTCATGGCTCTTCAATTTTGGTGAATCCTTCACAGACCTCTCTGTACAACAGATTCGCTCGACAGAAGGATGCTCTTCTTGAGATGATTTATTGCAGTCTAAAGAAGAAAATGATGAGCAGGACGAAGACGAGTACGAAGTTCTTGATGACTCCACTGAAATTCTTTGATTCTCATTTAAGCTCTTACTCAGACTTCTCTCCTGAAAAGCATGATAAAATAATTTTGATATCCTAGAAAGGCAGTTAAAGCAGAGATGGGTACAATGACATTCGAATAATATTTACCAAAACAATATGTGGAGAGCATCGATTTCCCTCTGTTCCAACCGAGCTTCTATTTGATAGAACTTTGCCTAGAGAAGAATAAAACCAACTTATTTTTCTTGGTTAAACAAAGCGAAGAATTGCATATTTGTCTGATAAAGATTCAGTAATACGAAATTGATTCCAAGTAAAATAATATCCAAAGAGGTAACACACAAAAATACACACCTTGTCTTTTCAGATATCTTAAGGTCCAAATAATTATATGTACTAATTTGGTAGATAACCATCATTAACAGCATTTTAACTTTAGGGCCATCAAGTTTTTGGATGTGACAAATAAGAATCATGTGTGTTATTTCACTTGGTGATAAAAGATGTAATGCATTCATGCAAGTGAACTGGTGCCATGATTCATTCCGACTGGCAAACTCAGCATTCCTCACTCTGATGGTTTCAACTCATTTGGGCATGGAAGGCCAGCGACATTATCATCGACTAGCTCATGCTTTTGAAAACCATACAATGGAGAGATCGGAAGTATCATGACATTATTAAGAGCACAAAATGATTAGAATAAATTATCAAAGTTTTAGTGGTTTGATGTCTTCAAATTACAAACCCTCCAAAAATAGATTTTCATGAACTCATCGTGTTCATTAGATTTCAGAACCTTCAAAAAGATTAAAAAGAACATGTCACTTAATTACTTTTTATATATGTATATCTTCAATCCATTATCTTTCTTTTTTATCGAGAACAAAGGTAGATGTCCTTCACGTTTCCATCCAAGCCTCTAAACTAGAAACCAAAGACCAATTAAATCGGAACAAGAGTTGGGAAAAGCGATTGTATAAACTACTGAGCCACAATAGCCACAAAGTTAAAGAAAGAAATGCATAAGAACAAACTAAGAGGGTGACTGACTCATGCCTCTGATGAAGCAGAAGAAAGTGGATAGCTAGCTACCTGAAGAAACCCCTTGATGGCTGTGACCACTGAGGCGCCTCCCGGTAAGGAGGCGCTGCCGATCGAAAATTTGGAAGATTCCAGTCATGCACCCTATCTGCCTCTTCATCTCTGGATCTTCATCAGCAAATGTATGCAGAAACTTTGCAGACATCCTCGTGCTTCTCCTGCCAACAACTGAGCAGATAGTCCCAAATCCCACAAAGGATTGAAATTCTCAGAGCCAGAGTTGTCAGGTTGATCTAAAAGCCCTAATTCTAGGACTTGGTAGGCAGCAGATTACAGTCCCAGGCCTTGAAGAGGCCAAAGCAACATTTAAAGCCCTTCTACAATGCTGAAGTGAATACTTCCTGACAACCAAACAGGCATTTATCATTTACCAGCAACCTACTGGGCCTCGTGTCCCCTTGTTACAAAATCAATCTCACTGCATCAGAATATCTCAGGTAGCTAAAAGAGACAACCCCTTTCAGGTCACACAACTAACCTCAGTATCCCTCCGAACCATTGGCAGCTAAACACATCTCTATATTCTTCCCATCCATGGCCGTAAACAAATGGGCAGGTACCCAATAAATCAGAACTCTCCCAACTACCTAAAGTTTGCAATAGTAGGTGAAGATTTAGGAGCTTCAACTGAACATAGCAACATCACCCATGTCATATAAAAGAAAGGTACAAGGACAGGAAACATATGCAAGGAGGGAGGGAAACTTGACACCAGTATTCACCTTTCTATGATACATGCATGAACATGAGCAAGCAAGGAAGAAGCCCAGGCCAGGAGGGAGGTCAGTGAGAAGGATGTTGATGCTGCTTATAATACTTCTTCTGTAACTCCCATGATTTCCTTCTGGTCGGTCATGTAAGAAGAGTGTGTCAGGGTTGGGAGTCGAGAGGAAGAGAAAGGTGTGGAGGTGTGGTTTATGATCCCAAGGATGGTGAATGATTCCAATGGGAAGTGAAGGCTGCTGGGCTGGTTTTTCTGATTCTTTTTTCTCCTTGTTTTCTAGAAAGGGAATTTGGCATGTATTATTAGACAGACAGATATGAGTGGGTCACAAGTCCCTCCCGTTGGTCCTCTCTCTCTCTCTCTCTCTCTCATCCTCCATGTGCCTAACCATGCAAATGCAGATACATCTTGCTTTCTTGGACGCCATTTTCAACCTCATTGCCCACTCGACATCAAACCACAACCTTTGTGCCATCTTCGTTCGTGATAACATTAGCAAAAGTCAAAAGGGAAAGCAAGTCGAGGAGAAGGAGAAAAATGAGTCGACAAACAAAATTAATTGCGATCGATGGAGTTCAGTTTTGCATGTACAGCTTTAGTACTGTACAAATCTGTAGTCGTCGAGAAAGGTATCCAACAACAAACAATGTCCTGCAAAAACCCATCGAGAGGGAGGGGGAGAGAAGAAGTGTGACCCACGTTGCACTAGCAGATGACCTGTGAAAGCCGGCAGGTTTTGACGAAGGCATAGATAGCTAGGCATGGTGGACGATCACGTGGCTGAGGAATCTCACAGCCCTTCCACACAACCTTCTCATTTTTCCCACTTCTCAATGCAGCTCAGAGAGAGAGAGAGAGAGAGAGAGCAGAGCAGAGACAACCGCCCAAGGGAATAAAACAGAGGGATCTCAGTGTTCCTTGCAGGCTCTGTGAAACTGTAACCTGGATGGCAGAAGACATCATGCACATGTTGCCATGAATGGGTTTACCTTCCGAGTGAGACCTACTGTCCTTTTGGTACTTGCAATGTGCCCTGTGGCCATCGTTAGACCATTCATTTTGCACAAGTCGAGTTCGGAGAGCAAAAAAACAAAATGAAGCAGTGATCCGGAAATCACCTAATCATCCATCATCAATACAAGAAACATTCGAACAAGGTTTACTCGACGTAGAATTCTGGAGAGAGGTAAGAAGAGCAGGACCAACAGGTTCGGTGAGATCAAATGCAGACTCTCTTGGGATGTGAACACAGGCATGCAAGTCAACCAGGTTGACCCAGTCTATCTTCTCCATCCATCTTATGTATTGCTTGCTTATCAGTGAAGCTACATCGAAAGCTCGACTTCCTTCTTTGCGAGCTCACAAAGGCGCTTTCTTTTATCTATCTTTCGAGGGAATACAAAGAAAGGCACAAGCTCTGGAATTGCTAATCTGTTCTCTCTCGAGAAAGGAATCTTAGTGATGGAAAAGTCCCTGGAGACGTGTGCAAACCAAATTCACTTCTGCACGGGATACATACGGTCTTCAATTTGCATGACAACAATCTAATTAAGTTGATGGAGTTGCCAGCAAGAGCGTCTTGGCCCACAGTGCTAGAAGAGATCCCTCGACACCAAGCTGTCTCCGGTAAGCTGTAAGCTGATGGGAAAAGGAGGACACTGGGAAGATGAACCTCGAGGCCACAGAGAGAGAGAGAGAGTGATTGATTCCTAGAAAGGACGGGAGGAAGACTTTGTAACATTAAATGCAACAAAATTTGGAATGCAGATCCATGAGTCTCGTGGGAATCATAACCCTTACATATCACATTGGATCTCGAGATTGTCAGCTCCTTGGTAACTGTATTCGCTTGATGGGGAAAAGAAGAAGTGCATATCCAGCAGTAATCATCTCCATCTCCATAATTTGGATCCTGAGAACACAATCATGAGGTATATTTTATTTATGCTTCTGAATGTGTTGGAGCTGTCATGAAATAATTCCTTTGCTGTATTTTGTTTTAGGTAGACTGGAATCTGATTGATTCTCCCACCAACATCTTCATAATTCCCTCAGAAAATGTTTAGAATATACCTTCTTCTTCTTCTTCTTCTTGTTCATAATTGATACAACAGTTGGGAGTGAGACCGATGCAAATATTATCTGATCATATCGCGGTTGTCATGTCCGTCCATAGCCATACTGAGAACATTACCAACGTCGACACCACACTAGCGGGGAGTAAAACGAACATATAAATAAATAAAATGGCTGAAGAAACCGATAATAAAACGGGGTGTGATTGGAAAGTTGCAGGATAGGTCAAGTTAAAAAGAACTCATGGAAGCTCCTCCATGTGGAGTGGAGGCCATGAAAGCTGGACCAGCGTAATCATACCAAGAACGAGTCAGCAGGCAGGGAAGTGGGTGGGGGATGAAGAACGACGGGAAGACATCGACATTGCACCCCCTTATGGAAGCACAGGATTCACTCTCCCCTCTTGATTGGTTTCTGACACACTTCACATGCCGATCCATGAATCTAAACTCCATTAACAGGATCTTGCGATGGCTCATTTGACTTCGACTCTTACACTGGGCGATAAACTAGTCATGGTGGTGTAAAATTTGCAGCTCTCGAACTTGCAGAATCATGTGCTTTGTCTTACATGACTGCTGCTGCTGCTGTGACTTTTGGGATGAGAATGATTTGTATTATAAGACTCAGCCTTGTGGTCCATGTCAGAGTTGTTGGATTTACTGTGAATGCAAGGTGGCAATTGCCCCATGTATCTGCCAAAAGACAACGGGGGTTCCATCATATATATATATATATATTTATAACCAGCACAGAAATATATCATCTTATTTTGCTTCAGGAAGGTTACTTCATGTGGAAATCACCACATTTCCACGCATACTAACTATGTTTTCATACCTCAGAGGCTGATTGCAGTGCAAGTGGGGTGGACGCCTCCATGTAGACGACGTATACACGCTGCATGGAATGATGATACGGATACAGAGCCGAAAGACATGCTGGAAAAAAAAGGTGATGTTGATAGGATGAGATAGATAAAGAATGGGGATGCATGACCACATGGATGAAGGGATCACATGGGCTGACACACAGGGCAGGACCAACTAGCTCAGCCTAATCATACCAAGCATGTTCCGAGAAATAACAAGGCATTGGCACAACTATGACTGGCACATGATGTATCTGTTTTATATGAAACTTCACCCACCATGAGATCATGTGGCCATGGTGTGTCAGAGTTATGGTCTTGTGGCCAGCTTGGTGGGATCAGTCCGAGTTTTAATCATCAAGCAGTGAAAACCAGAGTAGGTGCAGGTAATATGATTGCAATGCACATGATGTACACATAACAGACAGAGAGAGAGAGAGAGAAGAGAGAGACCAACTTTGGAATGGGAAAAGCAAATGAGCTGTGTCTGAGAAGTCTTTCTTCTAGTCGGTTCACAAATGAGAAGAAGAGATAGAGGTGAACAACAAACACTGCATGCTATTGAGTATCTCTAACAAGAGGTCTTTCTTCTAAACGAGGAACTGATGCTAACTGATAGATATGACAGTATGAGTTTACATAAGTTTTGTTCGATCATGGTGTTACAGTAGATCATGAGTTTGAATTCACATGATGACAGTAAGACATTTTTCATAAGTTCGACTCGAAAGTTGTGAGTTGCTGAAATTTACAGGTGAAGAAGCTTCGTTCTCAGATAAGAACTTGGATTCTCCATGAAAAGTGGCATCAAAAGCATGAAAGATTCTCCATGAATCCTGGGATTTTCCATGTTCTAAGGTTTGCTTAGTGGGCGGGCGAGTAAGAACTTTTTGAACTTTCATTCACAACCCGGTCAACTTGGATACTCGTACAACTAAAAATGTAGTCGATCGATCTTAAAATTGGATGAAAAAAGTGTGAGCTTTTAGTCGATGCTAACATCCTACTCTACTATCTCCTCTCTACACCAATGGAGGTGACAATTAATAATAATGCACAAGCCTTTGCTTCAGCAAACAACAAACATCAAGCTAAGTAATGTGCAATACAAAGAAGACATCAAGCTGTGGAAATTTTGGCTATCTTTACACTAAGCATGTGATAGCATCAAATAATTTAGGCCTTCAGCAAGTAAGTGGCAAGTGCTGGTGCCATTCACACTATACACCAAGAGATCACATTTGGGTGATTTGTGAGGCTAAACCATACAAAAATACCAAATGGTGTCGTCAGCTTATTTTTGGATTCATCAAAACAGAGGCAAAAAGACTCATGTGATCCAACATTAATGTTTGCAAGGGAAACTCTAAGCTGGCATTCTTTGGGAAGACTTGAACTAAAAGGTTTTGTCCATGTAATAATAAACAAGGCCTCTGTTGAGACATCACTGCTGAGATGAATCTACAAAAGACACTCATGTCATGCTATTTTAGTTACTACTTTTTCTCTGGAGCAATTTTTCACATGATGGCAGAAATTCCTCATAAGGTTTGTGGTTGATGATGGGGAATGTGATTGGCCAGTTCATATTTCCATCCACAATAATCTATATTGGGCCATGTTGCCCCCTCAACTTGAGACCCAACATTATCCTTCACCCTTTGAGATGTCCATCAGTGTGTAGTCTCTTAATGCAGCATAGGGTGGTCCTTTGCAATGAGAATGATCAAGCTCCAACAAAGCCTTCACTGTAGATGATGGCCCTGATAGATACCAAGTGCTCATCTCAGACAGCAATTGCTACCACAAGAACAAATACTGTCCCATGCCAACTCTGCTAGGGTTCCTTTACTGAACAACATTTCTGAAACCATGGAGGCACTCTTGTTGAGCATCCGATAACTGCCAATAAGACAAAAAGAAATATTGGGAGATGGCAATTCTTAGAACCTTACTACATAACAAGGAGACACTTGATCTTGATTAATGAAGTTACAGCGCATGAAACATCTTACAACTACTACAAATACAGAATCTTCCCAGCATCACCAGTAAGAAACTTGAGATATATGACATCCTTGCCTACTTTACTCAACAAAAGTACATGCTACAAAACATACTGGCCACAGACTATACAACCAATCAGAGACCAATTACTGTGCTTCTTAAAGAATTGGTTGAAGTAGTACAGTAACAGAGCACAAGCACCAGTACAAGCATTCAAGGTTTTCAGGAAACAGATTCACCGATTTGAAGATTAAAATTTTGGTAACAAATACCAAGCTGGCAAAGGAAACAATGAATGCTAATAAGCACCATGCTTTACAGAACATTGCTCGATAATAAGTGTTTGTCGGGCAATGCTAGCAAGTTAGGAAAGGAAAG